AAACTGAAAAAAAGTGAATATTAGACTGTTCAAAAAAATAGCAGTGTGTGTATTCTTCTTTACAAACTCAAACATTCACTATATAAACTGAAAAATGTTTGAAGATTTTGCTTTCCTTTGAATCACTTAATTAATATTTAGTTGTATAAGCACTGTTTCTGAGAACTGCTGTACATCTGTGTTGCATGGAGTCAACCAACTTCTGACACCTGTGAACAGGTATTCCAGCCCAGGATGATTGCACTACATTCCACAGTTCTTCTCTATTTGTTGGTTTTGCCCTCAGAAACTGCATTTTTGATGTCACCCCACAAGTTTTCTATTGGATTAAGATCCGGGGATTGGGCTGGCCACTCCATAACGTCAAGCTTGTTGGTCTGGAACCAAGATGTTGCACGTTTACTGGTGTGTTTGGGGTCGTTGTCTTGTTGGAACACCCATTTCAAGGGCATTTCCTCTTCAGCATAAGGCAGCATGACCTCTTCAAGTATTCTGATGTATTCAAACTGATCCATGATCCCTGGTATGCGATAAATAGGCCCAACACCATAGTATGAAAAACATCACCATATCATGATGCCTGCACAACCATGCTTCACTGTCTTCACAGCGTACTGTGGCTTGAATTCAGTGTTTTGGGGTCGTCTGACAAACTGTCTCCGGCCACTAGACCCAAAAAGAACAATCTTACTTTCATCAGTCCACAAAATGTTGCGCCATTTCTCTTTAGGCCAGTCAATGTACTCTTTGGCAAATTGTAACCTCTTCAGCACGTCTTTTTTTCAACAGTGGGACTTTGCGGGGGCTTCTTGCAGATAGCTTGGCTTCACATAGTAGTCTTCTAATTGTAACAGTACTCACAGGTAACTTTAGACCTTCTTTGATCTTCCTGGAGCTGATTGTTGGCTGAGTCCTTGCCATTGTGGCTATTCTTCTATCCATTTGAATGGTAGTTTTTCGCTTTCTTCCACGTCTTTCAGGTTTTGGTTGCCATTTTAAAGCATTTGCGATCATTTTAGCTGAGCAGCCTATCATTTTCTGCACTTCTTTATATGTTTTCCCCTCTCCAATCAACTTTTTAATCAAGGTACGCTGTTCTTCTGAACAATGTCTGGAACGACCCATTTTACTCAGAATTTCAAGAGAGAAATGCACTGTAAGCAGCATGTACAACATTTGCTGCCTTCCTTCCTTAAATAATGGCAATAATTGCCACCTGTTTTTCAAAGAATGAATGACCTCACTAATAGAACTCCACACTGCTATTATTTTGAACATGCCCCTTTCAATTAGTGATTCAATTACACAGAATCAGCAGCATGCATGCATGTCATGACTGTTGGGTCTGTTGGATTTCTATTACTCTGCTACACCTGCTAGTAAATTATTTGCCATGTAGAAATATCATTTCTACCAAAAACAGTGATTGATCAGGTTAGTGATGTCTGACTGCTATTATTTTTAACACAACTGTATATCTATGTGATCCTTGAAGCAGCTTGTCAATAATCTTCAGGCCTGTCCAACAAGCTTTTACCACTCATTATGGATATACCATGAATATTTTCATGTTTGCTCCTCAGTACAACCTAACCATAGAGGGCCAACTGCACCATACCTGCAAAACACCTGTAACTCTGTTATTGTATTTTACTATTGAGATCCTGTAATCTTGTGTTATACTTCTGTTTTGTAATTGTTCTTTCCCAATAAAAACCATTATGGAAAAAAAAAAGAGGACACAGAGCCAAAGCCAAATCTCTCCTGCTCCTCCACGGCAGTGATTGACAGCAGCTCCAAATTCAGTGTGGCTTTGGCTGTTTCTCTCGTTCTACATATGTGTGTGTGGTGCTGGGAACGTCTGCTCGTAAGTTGTAGTTCTGAACAGAAACGTGCAGGAACTGCTCCCGGTGGTCACAGGCAGGGCTGGTGCTAGACTATTTTTCACCCTAGGCAAGACCTGCTACTTGCGTCCCCCCCCCCCCCCAAAAAAAAACTATAACATTTTGTTAAAAACAGTAGAAAATATTAAATCAACAAAACATGAAACAGCGACATTTCTTTTAATTTGCTAAAATAAGTGTCATAAGATGTCATCAGGACAGGGGCGGACTGACCATTTGGAAACTCGGGCACTGCCCGAGGGCCCGGGGTCAGTAGGGGGCCCCATGAGATGCCACTGGTACCTTTTTCATAGGCTTTTTTGAGTGAGTGGAGGATGAAGGATCCACAGTCTGACAGATCCCAGGTTTGAATTCCCCAGCCAATGGGGGGAGATAAAACGCTGTGACAGCAGGCAGCTGAACTGAGCGATTCCACACAGTGACAGATCCGACACAACACACCACCACCAACACTGACACAGATCAACAGGCACAGCAGGCTCTAGAAGAGCAGGCTGTGGGATATCATCACTCACTGACACATTGAACATGTGATGGATGTCCTGCTGGCCGGGTCACACTCACACAGACACGAGACATCAGAGTCAGACATTACCTTCCTCCGCAGGCGCATCTCCGCCTCTGCTGATGAATGGGAAGAGAAAGGCTGGAACTCCACAGTGATCAGCAGCCGCCAACCGGCTTGCAGTAAGGGACTGAGTCTGAGAGGAACACTGGAAGGAGCTGCTCTCTGTCCTCTGTCCTTTCTTTCTCCCCTCTGTCACCCCTTCTCTCAGCTGAAGGATCATTCATGACGTGGAGGCATCCCACACAGAGAGAGTGCCAGCCTGTGCTGCGCCCAGGCGCCGCTAGGTGACAGTGCACCCTATGCAGCCACCTAGTTTGCCTAGTGGAAGCACTGGCCCTGGCCACAGTCGGCACCCACATATCTGAAGTTGACCACAGTTGGGGCACAGTTAGTGGAGTAAGAACAGAGGATAGATTTTTTTAAAAGGCATGTAAGTGCTACTTGTAAGTCCTAATAGAAGCATCTTATTTAAAAATAGCTTTAACCTCATTTTAACTCTCCTGTGTCCTGTAATGTACCTCAAAAAAGGGATTTTACAGTAGAAGCAAAAATTACTATTATTATAATTATTATTATACAGGATTTATATAGCGCCAACAGTTTGCTCAGCACTTTACAAAATAAAGGGAGACAATACAGCAACAATACAGTTCAATACAAGAGGATTAGGAGGGCACTGCTCCTTGGAGCTTACAATCTAAGAGGAAGGGGCTAGTGGTACAAAAGGTAATAACTGTGGGGAATGGACTGGTAAAGGAGTAGAAGATTCTGTTATTAGATAAAGGCAGGATAGGCTTCCCTGAAGAGATTGCCTAAAAGTGGTCAGAGTAGACGATAGTCTGATAGATTGGGGTATAGAAATCCAGAGGATAGGGGAGGCTCTGGAGAAGTCCTGGAGATAAGCATGGGAAGAGACAAGGGAGCTAGAGAGCAGGAGGTTGTAGGAGGAGTGGAGAGGACGGTTTGGGTGATATTTGGAGACAAGTTTGGTGATGTAATTTGGGGAAGAGTTATAAATGGTTTTATATGTGATTGTTATGTTTTGAATTTTATTCTTTGGGCAATGGGAAGCCAGTGGAGGGATTGGCAGAGAGGGATGGCAGATATGGAACGGTTAGTAAGGTGGATGAGTCTGGCAGCAGCATTCATGATAGACTGAAGAGGGGATAGCCTGTGATGAGGTAGGCCAATGAGGAGGGAGTTACAATAGTCAAGGCGAGAGATAACCAGGGAGTCAATAAGTTGCTTAGTAGTTAAGAATGAGCGTATCTTGGAGATGTTGCGGAGGTGAAGTCTAAAATTATAATTTTTAGGGGAGCCTGAAAAAAAGTAATCAACGTTTGATCCACTTACATATTAAGCTCAAAGCAGTTATTATGTACCCCTCACAGAGTGATGTGTTTCCTTGAAAATGCCTTCAACTGCCTTTTTGTCCAAAAGGACTGAGTCAACTTTGTTCAGCTGCTTCCTAGGGTCAGCATCTATTTCCTGGACTGAGACGCTGGCTTGGAGATGATATAGTAATTTTTTTATGTTAACAGTGTGGTTATTGGCTGTGTTCACAAAGGTCTATAGGCAGGGGGATGTAAACAGACCTGCTTCACGTTTCCATACAAAAATACGGAAAAGTATGCAAACATTTCCCATTTCTTTTCAGTCCTAGACAGACTCACTGGTAATCGGTTGTAAACTGACGCACATCAGTTTACATCTGCCTGTTCATAGAATGATAATGAGTTCTGATAGATCTGCCTGAAAAATTGACAGGCAGATCTGATCAGACTGCTCATGTAAAAGGACCCCAAGCCATTGTTCACACCAGGGCGACTTGTCATGCATCTTGAGAGTTCATTGACGCTTATCAAGTCGCACCCCATTATCGGCAATGGAACCGTTCAAACCCCATATAACTCAAGTTGCAGCCTCTTTGAAAAAAGTTTCAGCACTATTTTTGTGTGACTTCATTGCGACTTGCCTTGACATCTGGTAAATGAAGTTGCACAGAATGACAGCAAGCCGCAGTGAAGTCACACTAAATAGTTGGCTTCAAAGCTGTGCTGATGTGAACCAGGGCTGAGAATCTTTAGAAAACATGTCAGAATATTGGACATTTTATATACAAACATGAGAAAACGTAGGTACAACAGTTACTTGTAGTAACCAGTTAAATTTCAGCCCTCAGTGCAAAATGCCAAAATGTATACAGGAACTAAACACACTTTTCCTGTACTTATTTTACCTCTTTTATACATATACAACATATTTTTATATAACTTACCAAATTATACACTTACCTGGTAAAGCTAGTAAGCCATCATATATGTCAACAGAAGTAGATACAGAAACATTTTTCCTACGGTAATGACATTTTGACACTCCTCATATATCAAAGCAACGCAAACTCTTCCACCCTCAAGTTGTTGAAATGCATGCTTGTTCTATGCATCTGAACTTTTACTAAGTAAAACATGGCAATAAAAGGAATATTGTGTACTTATTTTTTGTTTTAATAAAGAAATCTCTATTCCCAGCACTTCAAGCGTCAAACGTTTTTAAGGAGCGTGAGTATGCCAGTAGAGAACACTAGAATTCCTTCACCTCCCAATGAACAGAAGCGGCCTATACTGCAACGTCAGACCTCAATCACCCAGACGATAAAAAGGTAAATATTGATTGTGTATGCTTGAATTATACATGATTTGCTAGTTTATTCTATGGGAAAATTAAGTCAGATTTTTATTGTTGTACATTTTAGTTATGTAGCTGGCAGTAGATGAGTGAAAATGTCTTAAATACGTTAACTAACAATCTTTTCTGTCCCGATTCCTTAGGTCAAAAAAAGCTAAGATCACAAATCATCTTTCTGATTTGTTGATATCACTCTGCTTCCCCCATTTCTCTGCAAAAATGTTTTTCTTACATGCCAGTTCACGTGTCAGTTTACATAAATGCTTTTTGTGGTTCCTTGTTTGTATCTTTGTTTCTTGTCTGTTCCAATATTTCTCACTATACTAGTTTATTGACAATGCTAAAGATACATATAATGGATAAAATAAGTACATATTATAAGTAGGCAGAATCATTGTGTTACACTGTGCTATAGAGTGGCCCAACTGAGCGCCATTAGAGCTTGTTTGCACTTGACTGGTTTGTATGAATGCACTGCAGTTTAGTTTGTTCTTAAATGCAAACTGTAAGGGCCACTTTACACCCTTGTATGTGCTTTGCCACACACACACACACACACACACACACACACACTGCCAATCAAAACATGTACCCTTCCAACACAGTGACCTCTTGCCCCCAAATGTCCAGAGTGCATGGCTAGCAGTGGCCCTGCTACAGACTCAGTGTGAAGAAAGGCCAACCCTCCATGTAAGATATAGTTATTTTCCTACAAACAGCAATCACACTTAACAGTTTTATGGTGCTCCTAGAGGATTAGAGGGATTTTGGCTTCTGAGAGGAGAGACACTGTGTTCTCACACACAGCATCTCTGCCCACCCCTGCCCTCTGCTGCCCATTCACAGAAGCCTTAGTATTTTCTGAATGAGTTCACAAAATACGAAGGCTTCTGTGAATGGGGAACAGAGTGGAGGGGCAGGCATAGCTGGAGGAGCTGAGATAAGTCCACAAGGTGGCAATAACGTACTTGGACTTAAAGCGGAGTTCCAGTCAGTTTTGTGTTTAATTAAAGTCAGCAGCTACAACACATGTAGCTGCTGACTTTTAATAAACACAAACTCACCTGTCCCAGGGTCCAGCAATGTGCTCACACCCCACGCCATCCCTTCTCTGCCTCTTCTCTTCTCGGTGCTGGCATCAGAACTGTGCGGCTTCACAGCCGGGTGGCCGCTATGCATGTATGAGTCGCGCTGTGCATTCTCATTGGTCTTCTTGGACCTGTGAAGGTTCCTAGGAGACTGCGGGAGGAAGGAAGGGGCCAAACTACCAGCTCACTTCTCCGCAGCGAAGTGAGCTGGAAGTGGAAGTGGGTACCTGTCAAAAACAGGTATCTGCTTCCCCCCAAAAGGTGTCAAATATGGCAGTGGAGGGAGGGAGGAGGCAAGTGAACGGAACTTCCGTTTTTGAGTGGAACTCCACTTTAACTCATAGTATGTTTGCACATTTATCAAAGTGACTGAATTCCTGGAGTTTTAAAGTGGTAGTAAACTAAAAAAAGCAAAATGAAGAAAAAAAGTTTTCCCCTGCAAGGCAAAGCCATAACTGTCACCGCTTTAGAGGCTTCCATCTTCATCCGGTCTTCCTTCTGTGTTCGCATGCTGCGGCCGCTTGATTTGCCGAGCTGTGATGCGTGGAAGTCTCACCTGCAGTGCACAAATCTGAAGGAACAGTATGGATATGCCATTCCTTCAGAGCGCATGTGCCAGTGATGTTACTGGCTACTGCTCGTTAGAATGTTTCCTAAGCAGTCCACATTTAGGAGATATTCATTTTACTGTTTATTATAAGCTTACGTGTAGGTAAAGATAATATGAGAGAGTTTGCCACTTTAAGGCCTGTGTTTCTACAATATGTGCGTCGGTGGTTGCTGTTTGCAGTAAAAGAGCTATATCTGGCCTTTCCTCACCCTGTACCTCACACACTGTGGTACCTTTACATAGGTGTGAAAGGGGCTTTACTGTGCTTACTGACTCCTAGGTTTTGTCTTAGATTGCTGACAATGAGCGGTTCAAGCAGTAACACCTACCATAGCTGCTTAAACTGGACATCATTTTAAAATGTCTCTTGCACAAACAAATATTATTCCATCGCTGTTCAAAAAAAAATGCCACTCAGGACTCTGATTCTGTAAGGAACAATCTGTTTTTCATCTGTAAAATATTTATATTGTTATTGTTCATACAAGTGCTATTAACACAATAAACGGTTAGCATTTTGTTTTCATCAATGTTTCTTTCCTGTTTTTCTTGGAAGCAAGCGCGTGACGTTTGACAAAATCAGTACTATGCCGGTCAAGGGGCACCTAGCTAGCAGGAGGTCTATTCATTTTAGGAAACGTCAAACAATCTCTACTTTCTTTTTCAGGTAGTTTAGCAAGTGCATGTAGAGTTCTGCATGATTTTTTCTTGGAAAATAAAAATAAATCCTTCTCTAAAAGCATTTTTAGTCTCACATGACTCCTTACTGTTCGATTGCATTGGTTCACATTTTTGCAGTGAATGTGCAGTGTTTTCTAGTAATTAAAAAAGTAAATGCATGCCTGCATGATTACCCTCTAATATTTGTTTATATAAACAACACCCACATACAGTAAAGAGCCTGTCCAACCAAACCTGAAATTTTAGGTATACGTAGAGCCTTGTGGGCAGAATTACTGTTTGGCTTCTTATATGTCTGGATGGATGTTATGGATAGAACAACATCAACTTCTGTCTGTCATAGTGCTTCTCCACCTGGGATTTTGAGCCATGCCATCCATTGTTGTATGTTCCAGCAACTCCTGTCCCATTCTTCATAACACAAAATAAAACTGTAACAGGATTTGAGGGGAGTAATATTGGTCATAAACTCAGAAATTCAAACAGTCATTTCACCAAAAGTGTACATAAGAAAATGACAGGTGCTTTAAATCTCTAACATCCACCACAGACTGGAATATCCATATCTGGTAGATTGAGCTCTTCACGGAATTTTAGTGAACATAATCCATAATAGCTTATTATTATAAAAACTATATATAGAGCTGCAGCTATATCCAGAAACATTCTGGCCCATGCTTTGATCAGGAAAACAGTTTAAAGTACAAAGTAAAGCTGTAGAACTTACTGATTACCCAACATTTGACTCGACTCCTTCTTGCCAAACAAAATGAATTTCAGAGTGACATTCAAATATAATGTACATGAAGTAGTTTGAATTTATAGACTATATATGGCACATGAACATTCTAAAGAAAGACCAAATGTTATTTCCCATTCCAAACTCCTGCATATTCTTTTCAGGAATTAGGGCATATAATCATAGATGTCCATTTTTGTGCACTTAAACACACGTAGAAATCGTATTCATGCTTACGTGGCTAGTTCACATCTATGTGCTGCAGTTTAAGCATTTTTAAAATATTGCCCATGCTGTCTGTGAAGGTCCTCATTTATCCAGGTCATGTTATAGTTATTAGTTACACAGTTACATAGGTAATATGGTTGAACAAAGACACTAGTTGACTTCTGTGAGATACTGTAGAATCCCCTATTACCACCAACTGTCTAGGCCTTTCTGCACTACCCCCACCACCCCTACTAGATGGGCTGCTCTCCCAGCTGTTTGAGATAGCAGTGACATCTAGGGCTGCCACTTCTGAGATTGCCACTGTAGTAGATAGTTACATTTAAATTGACTTTTTTAAGCAGTACATAAGTCCAGCTGAATGTGACTAACTATTACTAGCTATTGCCTCATGGGACAAAAGGAACAAAATAAAAAAGTATCTAAAAATAGGCACATGTATAAAACTTACAAATACATGCATAATTGCATACTCTAATGCACATCAAAATCAGGTATTGTTACGTATATGTGTGAAAGGGCCCTTCATGAGCTACAGTCTCAAGAAGAATGTTCACCATTCAACTTTTCTAGGTGTATTGGATATCTGTGTCCCCCACTATGTGCTACAAGCTGGTAGCCTTCAGACAGAATTGTAAGACAGTCAAAGAATACAGCAAGTGGTAGCAGATGTAAAAATAAAGCAAACAACTCAGCAATAGAGCACAAAACCAGCACAAGGGATCAGGAGTAATATTTTGCTCAGACTTCCCTAATGCACTAAGCAGGATTCACACTGGCCATTTGGTGACCCAACACGCAGGCTTGAGTGTGCCTAAAGCCTGGTACACACATTCAGTTTTTTTTTCATTCAACCCAGTGGGCTGAACAAAAAAAAAAAAAAGACAGAGATCGCTGTACTATCTATGTGGTGTTAGTGCAGCGATCTCTCCTGCTGTGCCTTTATGTTCTCACAGGGACACTTCCCCCCCACAAGAACACACTAATCAGTGCTCGAAGCCGTTGCCTGCAATGGCTGATCGGATGCTGATTTTCCAGCATGTCCCTTCAACAAACACCAGTCCTTAGACTGGCTTCTTTCAGCAGGACAGCTGTACCCATGGTCCAAATGTTGGCCGGTTCCTGCTGAACTGGCCGTTATTCAGACCATGCGTATGGGATCGTCAGAGGGGGTGTCACCAAGTGAATAAAAATAAATAAAAGTCAATAAAAATAAGACCTACCCAAAAATAAGCCCTAGTGCATTTTTTTTTACCTAAAATTAATATAAGACACTGTCTTATTTTTGGGGAAACACGGTAAGTGAGAATAAGTGGTGTTTTGCAGGTGTATTTTGTCTTTTGACTGTCGGCTGTTAATATATAGTATCTGCCAAATATTTTGCCAGCCATGAATATCTTGCACATTGGTTGGAAGAAATAAAACAAGATTTCCTTCTCTGTGCGCTGTCACCCTTTTTAATCCATCACTATATACTTATGCTTGTGTGTTGGCTGTTGTAGTGGAATGTAAGCCTCAGTGCTACTGTGGAACTTGGAACACATGTACATGCTGATTAGCAGAGCTCATATTTTATTGGCATTGGAAGCTGCAGTAATCATGATGTAACCCCAGGGAAAAGTGGACAG